TATATCTTAGGTATTTTTCTTCAATCTGCCCTTCCCACTGAACTCTACATCTCTTTGGCCAGTTTATTCAGCTCTCCTCATTTCATAGATTAATTGATCATTTTACTATTTCTACTCATTTTCTGTTCAAATCCTTGGTCAATTCTTCCCATAAGTCATTTGTCTTTTCCTCATATATATGTGGGAGGTCTTCTCATATTACAAGTATAAGACATTGGCTGAGGAATGTTCAAGTCTTGTCTTAAAAGGGCTTAGGGGCCAGGGAACGGGATTAGGATGCAAGAGGGTTTGTCCCAGGCCTGGGAGTGGGGCTCTGGTGTCCCTAAGCCCCCAGTGTCTGATCCTGTTGTTCTTCAGAACCACGATGAGCCTGAGGCTGCAGATGGAATCAGGAAAAGGATGGAGGGCAGGAAGGAAAAATGGAAGGAGCTGGGGGGAGGGCCCATTGGGAACAAAATGAGAAGAGTGGAGACAGGTGCGGGGGTGGGGTGTAGGTAGCAGAAGGGGTCATTGCTAAGGCTTTTCTGAGCTGCTTTCCTCTTTGTCCAAGTCAGTTTGACCATCACTTCCTCCTGGACACACTGGGCAATTCCTGAGTGAAGGTCTTGGGAGAGGGGAGGTGGGCAGAAGGGTAGGCTGACAGATGCCCAAGCCACCCACTCCCCAAAGCAAAGTCTTTCTCCAAGCTCCCAGGAAAAACAAACTGATGACTTCTTGCTCCCTTTTCTCTTCACCAAAGTCTGACATTTTACTTCATTCCTCCCCCTCCCCCCATCAACTATCCCAGGGACAATCACTTGTCCACTAACCCTGAAAGATATCCTTGAATGCCTCATTCACTCCTGCCATGCCTCCTCAGGGCTTTTAACAAGGTATGTGACCAAACCATCTCCTAATGATCTGTCTGTATCCCTAACTAGACTGAAAGCTCAGGTCTTGCTTAGCCAGTTGCTTTATTTATCAGTTCAACCTTGTGTCAGTCAATCTTGTGTCGGGTGCAATTTGGGGGACTGGGGTGCCACTGAACCAGGACCATTTGCCAAAAGGGGGAGAAAGACCATCACACGGGGGTCCTGAATAGGAGATACTGGCCTCTGTGAGTCTCCGACCTGGGGCTGCAGCGACAACCACCCTGGAAGAAGGAACTTGAACCTGGAGAACTCCAGGTTCAAGAAGGAACTCCACCTCAGCCCTGCAAATTCTATACCTTGGTATCTGTTCCTTCCATGACTGGCACTCAGTGACACCCAAAGAGCATTCATGGAAAGAAAGGGAACTGGAAGAACCAAGGCTGAAAGGGAGCAGGAGGGATTCGGGGAGGGATTTGTTTGTTGAGTAAAGGGGAGCGGTGCGCGCAAGTTCTATGTGCAATTTGTCTCTGCCCTGGAGTAGTCGCACTCAATCGCCCATTCATTCACCGACTCTACTCAAGTTAAAAATGTCCAGCTTTGCCAAGCCCCAAGCCTACGTCCAGGATGGGTGGCACGGACTGATTTGCTCCCTTCT